AATCAAAAGGCAACATTACAGTTGGTTCAATAACATATTACATGCCACAATCAGAAGGCAACATTACAGTTGGTTCAATAACATATTACATGCTACAATCAGAAGGCAACATTACAGTTGGTTCAATAACATATTACATGCTACAGTCAGAAGGCAACATTTTACAAATATCTACACATTTACTGTTAGTTATCTATTGTTATATGCACTGGGATCTTGACAATATAGTATTATCGGATAACACTATTTGAAGGTATCAGTGGGGTTATGAAGTTAATGCATAAAAAAAATGTATACATTTTTTCTATCTCTAACCTTTTGAAAATAAAAATCTTTGATTCAGATACGAGTATTATAACTTTTAAACACACTAGTTTCTAATTTTGAATTCAAGCATTTCAATAAACTGTAGAAAATATTGACATACTTATAAGGAATTAAAGCTGTAATATCTTTTTTTTTTGCATTCAGTCATTAAATAAGGTTAAGAAACTTAAAAAATATCCCAACATTTGTAAAACTTAAAATTGTTTTTAACAAAGTCACCTTAATATAGCAAATATTGTATTTTAATTATAGGTAATAAATATTAAACAAATACTTACTTTGGAGTTCAGTAATGTAAAAATTGTGTGATCGGGTGTAGTAGCTGCCCTCCATCGCAGCACCTCAGAGATAAATTGATACTTGCGTGTAGCATCACCAACATCTTCAACTAACGCTATGTCTCTTCCTTGTGCCGATGCAAGTCTCACTCCCTGTACCATACTTCCAACTAACACGGAAGCAGGACCGACATCTGTACAAAAACAAAACTATTAAAAAGATTTTATCCTCAGAGCTGATGTTTCCCTCATTTCCTACACCATACAACTAACACTGGTGTTAGACACACTTATATATGATAAATAAAAACAGACCTCTTGGTAAAAAAAAAAAAGAGTATAGAATAAAGTAGTTAGGGTTTTCAGATAAGGTAGGAAGAATTGTATGGAAAGTACAGTAACACTAGACTTTGTTTGACATGGCTTGTTGCCTTTTTTTTTTACCCTCAGAAAATATTACTGAAAACACCTGTACGTTAAACTTACTTTATGACAGCCTGATTTTATACATTTTTCTTTTTATATCAGCATGGTATCTCTGATTGTCGGCATCGACTCGTTATTTACTAACCAACATGAAATGTTTAGCAATGTGATAATTCTAGTATCTAAAAAAAGTATCTAGTTATAATTTTACACAAGTTATTCTGTTGTTTAAACACCTTGGGTAAAGTACCCGGAAGGTTTTTACCTCACAGCATGTAGCAAGCAAAAGGAGCACAAAATATTTTACTTGGTTTCCTCACTGGTAAAAATGGTATCATATCATATCATTACAAATCTACATATTTTCTTTAAATTTTCAGGCTTACATCTCTAATTATAAGATATTGCTATAATCACTGATTGCATCACTGATACGCAAAGGCTCATAGTATACCTAAAAGTTTAAGCATATCATAAAAGACATTGGGTATCATTAAGGTTTGGTTCCAAATGTATAATTAATAAAGTCTCCTGTATTTGCAATGCTTGTTTGTTTTTTGCTGATTAGAGAATTTTCAAGTCTTTATTACAAGGTGTCCCATTGTATCTTTATTACAAGGTGTCATGTTGTATCTTTATTACAAGGTGTCCTGTTGTATCTTTATTACAAGGTGTCCCATTGTATCTTTATTACAAGGTGTCCCATTGTATCTTTATTACAAGGTGTCATGTTGTATCTTTATTTCGTTCATCTGGTCCAAGACGTTCACCACAACGAACTGTGGAACCAATATACATCTGTTAAAAATGTACATTTTTAAAGAACGTATTGCTACCATAGTGTTGGAATCGAATCTTTCATGCTGAAAAAAGCCTTTAATGCATAATTGAGATTTAAAGATGACTTTCAGCGAAATTTGTGGACATGAAGTTTTTAAAATGTTCAATATTTTTTCTTTACTTTAAAATTTAAAGTAACAGTAACAATATTGTTCATTTATGTACACCAGTCGCTAGTGTTTGAGTAGCGTTCACTTTTTGCAGGTATTTATAAAGGGCCCTAGGGATCAAAATAATATAATAACAGGTTGTCAAAAGGCTCTGAACACAAGCAACAATATCCTTTCCTAAAAATATTTACAGGATAATAGTAGGGTAATTTATCTGAAAAATAAAAAAATAATCACAAAAAAAGTTAAATTATTAGAACATTAATACAATGTTTTTCACGTTGCTCATCTGTACATGATGAATTTTTATTATTACATCTCGGTATACATGCAAACAAACAAGAGTTTTAAAAACACGTATACATAAAACCCAGAGGAGCACTGGAGACATGTACCCCCCCCCACACTTTTTTGTAAAGTAATAAACTGTCCTCTTCAAAAAATAAAGGTGTTAAAACAGCATGTACAGCCTA